GTTGTTTGGATGCATAAGCAACTACTTCCAATTTGTTGATTTTAAAAAGCAACAAAAAGTAAACTTAAGTTCTGTTAGAAAGATGTATATTGTATGTGCATTGTTACACAATGCACATACTTGTTTGTATGGGAACATTGTGTCCAATGAATTTGGAGTTGCTCCATCCACATTGGAACAATTTTTTTATTGAAGAAAACTTTATTGGAACAATTTAAATATGTAGATACAGTATATATAATAAATTTTGAATTTATAAAAAGAACATTAAGTATGGAACTGTAATAAATATGAACATTAGTTTTTTAAATTTTTAAACAGCTCTAGCATCACGTCTGTTTGTTTTTGTTCCTGCTCCATGACCTGCATCATAAAGCTTTGCATCATGGCCATTTGCTGGTTTTGTTGTTGTTGCTGTTGCTGTTGTTGCTGTATGTTGTGCAGAAGATGCTTCTCTGTTATTTGCAACTGCGATGTTTGCTGCTGTTGATTTAGTTCAATCTGTTTCAGAAACTGGTCCTGTCTTTCTTGCTGCTGCTTTCTTTCTTCATTTTGCCTTTTGTTCTCTTCGACATCCATCTTTCTTATTGCTCTTTCAAGCCAGTCAGCTGGCTGATCTCCTCTTCTTTGGCTCTGCTTTTCCTTCTTCTTGAAGTCCCTTCTTTGTCTCTTCCATACTTTCTATTACCCTCTTCCTCATCTCCTGTGCCTTGGCCGTGTCTTTCTTCTTTGCTGTTGTTTCTTCTTCAGCTCTCTGCTCCGTCTCCTCCTCAATCTCTATTAGCTCTATTATGTCCATTTCTGGGCACGGAAACGAGCAGTCCTTGAAAAACTATAATTCCCGCCCTTCTTCGATGCAACTTCAGCAAAGCAGCGATGTTCTGTCGAGAGTCCTTACAACCAGAGACGATTCCTCTTTTCAGTCTGAAATCAGCGAGTCTCCCATCTGTCAACGGTTGCCGTGTTCGAGGCTATGTTCATAAAAAAAATTTTCCGTTCAAGCAAATTGGCTCAATTCAAGTTAATTTCAGCAATGGTCGCTAAAAGTAGTCTGATTTGTTGTTGATTGTCTGTTTTAAGACAATATCTACCAATTTCAACAACTTAAACTGCTTCTTTTTGAAAAAATTTGCTATGGCTCCCTGATGCTTTTGTCTTTGTAAAATTGACAAGCCAAGACGAACGAAAAGCGTGGGGGGTCCATCGTTCGTTGTAAATAAAATTATGAGAATTTGCAATTAAATGGTTGTTTCTGATTATTTCTCGTTCTCCCAAACTCCCACGCGTGTTTCTATAACTGTTTAGAATAACGAAAAATGTTCTCCATTTCTTAATTAATAAACAAATTACTTCATGGTTGGCTCGTTTGTACGAGTTTTACTATGCACAACTCGTGCATAAAAATCATACGCACTCACTAACCAAGAAGTAATCTATTTTCTTATAATATTTCTTTAATCTTCTATATATATATATAGATCGTAATATTGTCCTGAGGGCGATAAAACTTATATAACTGAGTCAATCCATTTTCACAACAACAATAAAATGGCGGGATAAAATTGGTCACACTTATAATATTTCTATATGAAGCTGGGTTGAATATTTAGAGCCAGAAAATTAATTTTTACATTGCATTAAAAACCTTTTCCATTGGCCATTGTTTATATGAGAAAAGTAATTTCCTGACAAATCAACCATAAATTAAATAGAAAATAAATAAGTTAAGCATGGAAATAAAAATATAGTACGTACCCCAGAGTTGTCCTTTCACTTTCTTATACCTTATAAACCCTGTTAATTAAATATCTAAACCATCGTTTAACCCGTACTTTTTACAGCCACAAAGCCCTTTTCCGCCTCAAATAGCATTATGATGTGCCTGAGGTTTGTCTTTTTATGGGTAGTGAAACGATGTTTAATTATGCTCGACATTAAAAAGTTAATAGTTGTTGAACGTAAACTGTCTTCGTTCTCTCGCTGCCTATACTTTGGCGCCCATCAGTCTCTATACTCCCCCTCCCAGCCCATTCGCCAAGTGCGCACACCTGTATTTTTTAAATTCTTTCTAACTACAACCAACAAATTTGTTTCTTTTTTTTTAATGATTTTCCCCCAAAGTTGTCGACCAGGTGCTAACTTTAGGCATCTTTCCGTGAATCATTAGGGACCTTAAGCATGTAGGACGGCAACACGACGACGACGCGGCTGAAATTCTCCTTTAAATAAATGCTATGGCAAAGTTGTTGTTTTATATTATTAATTGTACCAATTCAGTGAGATATAAGCTAGGCGTTAAAAACATTGTGTTTATGTTTAAGGACAATTCTATCGAGCCTAATTCGAGGTAGGGCTCGCTGTGCCTGAAATGCAACCGTTTTAGGCAAGACGTAAAAAACGACGTTTTCCCGTTGTGAACAGAACGAAGACGACGTCTAAAACCCATCATAGGTCTTTAATTATTCATTTCTTTTCAATGACCCATTGTGTTGATAGCCGTCGTCGTCGCGTTCGTGTTCTACATGCTTAAGGTCCCTATTATATCAACCTACGAATACCATAGACTATTTCAATTATTGCAAACCTTTAAAATTTCTCCTAATAGTTCATGCTTTCTGTTCTTTTATTAGATTTCGTAAACATTTGCCCCCATGGCTGGATTCGCTTCAGACAATTCTGTTTCTTTTTGGGTGAAGAAAGACATAGTTGGCCTGATGTACATGATCTGTGTTCTCGCAAAAACGGTAAAATGGCAATGCCAAAATCTCAAGAGGTTATCGCCTTCCTTATTGATAAACTTACTTCTAAGAAGCAGTACACGAGACCATATTTTGTGGGGATACGAAAGATAGATGAGGAGTGGCAATGGATTGATGACACTCCATTAAGCCATGGTTTATCCAGTCAAGAAAAGAGCCACTCTCACAGTTGTGCCGCTATAACCGAGGGCTCATTAAGAAAAATGCCCTGCGATTTTGAAGCAGGGTATATATGTGAAATAAAAACAGGTGCGTCAGATTAGAACATAAAATGCCTAATGCATTCATTTAACACAGCGATCTGTTTGAGGGATAATTAGCAACAAAGTGCAAGCGACGGACAAAATAGATGCATTTCTGATCAAAACAATAATGCCAACACTCACTAATTGTCAGATTAATTTAGGCGGCCTAGGACAAGTGAGCTCTATATTAAATATGACGTAGGAACTAGGTTGCTTATAGTTAAGCAAAGATGGAAGAATTTAAAGGAGCTATTGGAGGACACACCAGCCATCCTATGTGCGCGGTTAAATATGCTTTTCATTGTTTTGACCGGGATCATGCCCGCGAACCTTGATTCTACCTCATCACCCGCTGCGCTTAGTGATCACGTGAGAAGCATAGCGACCTCGCGACATTAATCAGTGTATAACGATCCTTTTTGCGACTAACACGTCTTTATCGCAGCTCTCGAAATTTGTGATTTTTTCATTCAAGTTGTAGAAAAAATGAGTTCAGAAACTCTTGAGATTACTGTGTCTCAAGATTCAGATAATTCTCAGCGTTCCAGTGTTATCACGGACGCTGAGACAAATAATGTTCTTTTGTCCACAATGCAAGCATTGCTAAAGGGCATGACTGAAATGTCGCAGGCATTCAAAAAGTCGCAGCAAGACGACGACGACTCGTGGCTTGACGACGAAGTGGATGATGGTGGTGAACCACAAGCTAAGAGACCATGTCTGGAAACCTCGGTTTCGCAATTACTTTCGTCCGCAGTTACGAACGACGGTCCCTCCACTTCTGCCGAAAGCGGGCAACCTATGACGGTCGAAAGCGCTCAAGCACAACCGAGCACATCATCGATCCTCGACAACATTGCACAGGAACTCCAAATGGAGGAACCATGTGCTCCACGGGTCCACGATCAACTCGCGACGATCGTCAATAATTTGGCGCGCGAGAGATTGCCTGACGATACAGTTGCAACGAAGTACAAACTGTACGATCGACCGGAAAATTGCGGTGCGCTGGTGCCGGTCAAAGTTAACCCCCCTATATGGGACAAACTGAAGTCCGAACCAGGTCTAGTGACTTGAGGTTTCAAAAAATTCAAACGGCGTTAAACAAAAGTTTAATTGCCATGGTTCAGGTTACAGATTGCCTGACCAACTCACTCGCGGCCTCTGCGGAGAAAACGAATCTCCCTAATACAGAAGATCTGGTCCGAAAAATGATGGACGCCGTGGCTTTTGCGACATACGCCAACCACGAATTGAACAACAAGCGCCGCGAGTGTATCAAACCGGAGCTACACCAAGATTTTCGGCCCCTGTGCTCAACCTCGAATCCTGTCACTACGTGGCTTTTTGGGGATGACTTGTCGAAACAAGTCAAAGACATGACTGAGGTCAACAAAGTTGGTCAGCGCGTGGCCCAAAGTCGGTTTCAAGAGAAAACGTCGACTTTTAGCTACAAGTCAAAGGCTCCAAGAGGGGGTCGTCACGGCCAGAATAATTTTTTCGACCGGCGCCGCCACCATCAGCACAGGAAGAGAGGGAATTCCAAACCCCTTGCTACACGTCAGTATACCGTGAGTAATCCTCATCATTACCTTTATCTCAGGTCTGCGCCGCAAAAATTGCTGGCAGGCTAAAATATTTTTTGCCCGAATGAGCCAAGCTCACCTCAGATAAAACGATTTTAGATTGTGCCGCGCATTATCATATTGATCTTATTGACAATGTATCTCCTATCCAACATACCGTTCCGAATCAGATTTCGTTCTCTGAGCCTGAACGGCGGGTAATTGACACTGAAGTGTCGAAATTGTTGGCGAAAGGGGTCATAGAACCTTGTGTGCCTGAATTGGGCGAATTCATTTCTACTGTCTTTTTGCGTCCTAAGCAAGACGGAACTTACCGCATGATCCTCAATTTAAAAAGGCTTAATAGCTTTGTTGAATACCACCATTTTAAGATGGACACATTAACAACGGCAATTAAAATGATGAGACCGGGCTGTTATATGGCATCTGTCGACTTGAAAGATGCCTATTATACTGTGCCTATTGCTCCAGAGCACCAAAAATTTTTGAAATTCTTTTGGCGTGATGGAATGTATAAATTTACGTGCTTGCCAAATGGGTTAGCTTGCACGCCAAGAGTTTTTACCAAGTTGTTAAAACCTTTATTTGCAACCCTAAGGAAACTCGGCCATTTGTGCTTTGGTTATATCGATAATACGTATCTTCAGGGAGATACTATCACTGAATGCTCTAGTACGATTGAGGCTACGGTAGCATTATTCACAAAAGTTGGGTTCATTACACACCCAGACAAATCCGTCTTACAGCCAGTACAGAGGCTGGTATTTCTCGGGTTTATACTAGACTCATTGCTCATGCTTGTGCGTCTCACACCCAAAAAAGCAACTAAAGTCAAAGATATGTGTTTGAAACTAATTTCAACCACTTTTCCGTCCCTTCAGGAACTTGCTGAAGTTATTGGTCTAATAGTGTCCAGTTTTCCGGGCGTAATGTACGGCCCTTTATATTATCGCGCTCTTGAATCAGCTAAGAGCGCTGGGCTTCGAGCCGCCAAGGGAAACTATTCATTTAAAATTGCCCTGCCTCCTGAGGCAAAACAGGAATTACAATGGTGGGTTGTTAATGTAGAATCAGCCACCAATCCTATAAATCGTGACCCTCCACACAAGTGTGTTCAATCTGACGCCTCTCTTCTTGGCTGGGGCGCCGTATGTGAGGGTGTTACCACCGGGGGTCGCTGGTCTGAGGTGGAAAGTACGCTCCACATTAATGTGCTAGAACTGAAAACAGCTTTATTTGCTTTGTAGTCCCTATGTAAAACTGATGCTAATATTCATATTCAAATGCAACTTGATAACACAACTGCTGTTGCTTATATTCAGTCAATGGGAGGCAGTAAATCTCCCCCATGCAATGAAATCGCTAAACAGATTTGGCTATGGGCAATTGACCGCAATATCTGGCTCAGCGCGACACATTTACCGGGCGCGCAAAATGTTATCGCCGACAGAAAGTCGCGTAATTTTAGCGATAACACTGAATGGATGCTTGATCCAATTGTATTCCAAACTATTACAACTTATTTTGGCATGCCTAGCATCGACTTATTTGCCTCGCGCCTTACAGCCCAGCTTACTCCGTACGCTTCCTGGCAGCCCGACCCTAATGCTAAGTTTATTGATGCACTTTCTATCAATTGGCATCAATTTGAATTACTCTATGCATTTCCACCGTTTAGCATGATAGCCAACTGTTTACAAAAACTGGATCTGAACGCGACCACGGGCATATTTGTTCTCCCTCTGTGGCCAACCCAACCTTGGTTTTCGCGTGCGCTGCAAATGCTAGTAGCCAAACCATTGCTCCTACCCCAACGCATCGACCTTCTCCGCCTTTCGAGCAGTCAAACTCGTCATCCTCTTGCCAAGAAAATGCGACTGATGGCTTTAAAGTTATCGAGCAATCTTTCCGAACAAGAGGCCTTTCGCCTGACGCTATCGCCATCATTCTCAACTCGCGAGATGGGAGCAGGAAGCAGTACCGAGGCTATCTTAAACGATGGATTCAATTTTGTGGTGAAAGGAAGATTGATCCAGTTCGAGCGCCTTTAGCGCAGGCGTTAGATTTTTTGACGGCTTTGTACAACAAGAATGGCCTGGGTTATAGCGCATTGAACACTGCCAGATCAGCTTTGTCCTCGGTTCTAATTTCTACGGAATTTGATTCATTTGGCTCTCATCCCTTAGTCATTCGTTTCATGCGCGGGGTGTATAACTCGAGACCAAGTTTACCTCGATATACTGAGAATTGGGATGTCCGTATCGTGTTGGACAAATTAAAAGAAATGTCGCCCAATTCATCCCTGTCATTAAAAGATCTAACTTATAAACTTGTCATGTTGATTGCTTTGGTGTCCGCTCAAAGAGGACAAACTATCCATTTACTGAATACTCACAACATGACGGAAAATGATTCCTCCTTCTCGTTCACAATACCGGAACTGACAAAAACAAGCAGACCAGGGGATCCCGCCAAGGTCATAAAGTTGATGGCATTTGCCCCAGATAGGTGTTTATGTGTTTATGACTGTTTGAAAGAGTATATACAACGCACAGGTACTTTGCGGTCCGATGATGGACAGCTCTTTATCAGCTATATTAAGCCGTACAAGAAAGTCAGTCGGGAAACAATACGACGTTGGCTCAAACACGTTATGCTATTGTCTGGCATAGATATAAACATTTTTAAACCTCATAGCACTCGAGCAGCATCAACGTCTGCTGCAACACAGGCAGAACAGCCAATTAGTGAGATTCTTAACGTAGCGGGCTGGAGGTCCGATTGTACTTTTGCCAAATTTTATAACAAGCCAATTAAGCCAACTTCAGGCTATGCCGATACTATTTTGTCAACTTGATGTAACAAATGTGATTTTCATTATCGTAACGTTCGCGTTATTTTTTCGAGAGCTTGTATTTTCATATACCGAGATTGCGTGTTTGCATGCTTTAAAGTCTCACGTGATCACTAAGCGCAGCGGGTGATGAGGTAGAATTGAAAAATTAAACGAGACTTACCTGTAAGTCGAAGTTTGATTGTGATTCTGCCGAATCACCCAGAGCGCTTAGGGATTACGTGCCCTCCTCTTAGGATATTTCTCCCACCCGATGGTTTGGTGGTTTGCAATACACGCAATCTCTTCGTTAAAGTCTGATTAATGTCGCGAGGTCGCTATGCTTCTCACGTAATCCCTAAGCGCTCTGGGTGATTCGGCAGAATCACAATCAAACTTCGACTTACAGGTAAGTCTCGTTTAATTTTTCAATTTTTGTGGATTTCTTCATTTAAAAGAGCAAAAATGAGGAGCAGGAAATAAAGTTGACTTGTTTTATAAAAATCAATGGACTTTGCATAATAGACCAACTATTTCAAAGTTTTGATATATAATAATTAATAATTTACCCTATATTATAAATTTTTGCAAGTATATAATTTATACAGATACCCATCGTCTTTGCCTTACCCCATAGTTCTTACCCCACATGTATATAGAGAAAACTTTCAACCTCTCCCGGCTAATCGATGTTGCAAGGTGTCGTACTTCAAGTTAACGGTATTCAAAAATACTATAGAGAGTATTATTGTATTAAATGTACTTTTCAAAACATGTTTTTTATTACCTTGTAGGAATTGAGGCATTGCGAGTGTTAACATTTGGAGACAGCCTAACTCTAGGTTATTTCAACAGTGGTAAAAGTTTTCATCCGTATGGTGATAAATTGGAAGAAAATTTGAATAAAGATGATCACAGATGCTTCGTACTCGAGATATCCGGGAAAAATGGCGAGGAATCTGACCACATGTTGCAACGACTCTCAAATTACCTGAATATAAGTATGTATACAATATTATAGACATATTTTACTGCGTGCATGGTCTCGCATTTCTTAATTGTTAGTCTAATAATATCGTTTCCCGAAATTTATTCAGCCTTGAAGCAGTCAAATTTTTAAGAAATGAAATTTCTAATAAGACAGGGCATTACAGGTGTCGACCGTGCAGTACTTCACAGGACCCGTTCCCAGGGAAAGCAAAAAGCCATCACATTTCATAATGTGAACGTTTTAGGTCATTGGAACAATGAAGAAAGCAAAGTGATAAGTGCAATGAATGATATCACATTTAATAGTGATGTAGAATTTCTACTTTACTTGCGGAAAAGTCTTAGCTATTATCCCAGCCAAACGGCTATGGGTACTCGTGTCACTGATCTAAAGAACTCTGATGACATTCACTACCCATATATTGGTGAAGTAAGCACTATCATTGCACTCAAAACCATGCATGCAACACTTACGTGGTGGACCTACAAGCTAATTTACTTATTTTGCTTTATTATTTAAGTAAATTAGCCTGTAGGTGCACGGCGTAAGAATTTAATACTGGAAAGCTTTCGTTTTGTCTTAAAGTGCCTATATCACTTGTGGGATCTTTACGGATTTGAATAGAGCTTGAAAAATTAGTTTATAAGTTCTACCTACCTTTTTGATGTAATTAAATAGTTTCGGGAATATTTACATCTAAACATGACTCCCAGTCCCCCCAACCGACGTATTTTCGAAACTATTTAATTATATCAAAAAAGATTGTAGAACTTATAAACAAATTTTTCAAGCCCTATTCAAATCCATAAAGATCCCACAAGTGATATAGGCACTTTAAGCTACAAGCTAATTTACTTATTTGATGTCACCACGCAAACTTACAAGAATCTTATTAAAACAAAATAGTTGACGACTTCGATTTCTTTTTTTAGGACAGGAAACGTATAATTGGGTGCTTATTCTAGCTGGGACAAACGATTTACTGGTGGGCGATAGTTCAAGTGATAGAATAGCTGATCAGATTGTGATAATGCACGAGGTTGCCCATGCCAGAGGTGCCAAATCTCTAGTAATTACTATACCAGAAATATTTTGTGAGAGAACAAATTGCCCTCATCTAAAACAGAGGAGGAAATCTGTAAACAGACGTTTGCGAAAATATGCGGCAGCCGCTGGAAGCAAGGCGTATTTGTCTGATTTAGCTTTAAAACTTTCTTTACACCAACTTTCCTTGGAAGATCGAAAAGCCTTTTGGGAGCCATCTGGAGTGCATTTAAAGGCCAAAGGCTATGACAAAATGGCAGATATTATATTTAAAGACCTCATGGAATCCATTGAATCGGCAGTTTGGTAGTTTTTTCTAGTGGTAAAAAGCGCGTATCGTCAGCATTTTTGCACGAGTTGAGTCCCACACGAAAAATCAGGGTTGTGTTAATTCGGTAAGTATCGGAAAAGGCCAAGTACATGGTGGACACGGGTTTCGATGGTGGTCACGGTAGTGTTCGAAAATGATCGTAGGTTGCCAGATACATTCCGACGAGCATAAATATATATATTAAAAAAGAGAAAAGTTTACAAGAATAACAGAAAATGTTTAAAAGTATAATAGTATTTATAAAAATGTTTTTAAAATGTTCACAATTTTTTGTTAATATTTTATTATTATTATTATTATTATTAAAAAATACACATAAAGTAGCTTAGACAGCTAAATTACAATGTGATTTACAGGTTCATAAAAATAATTTAAGAAATATTACATTTTAGAATTACAATAATTCATACTCTAATCTATATTACAAAGCTAAAAGTAAATTACAAAAGCTATATTTTAAATATTAAGAAACTAATAAAATAGTTAAGAATCATCAATTTTGAGATTGTACTTACGAATCGCATATACTAGAGGACTATTTCTAAAGCGCTCTGTTCTGCATTTAAAATTGTAAATTTTATTTACATTAAGTCTCGTGTCTCTCTCCCGTAATTGACCTACAGTTGGTGGTAGCAAATCATTGAGTTTATGTGAAGGGTCCTTTATATCCTTTATCAAGTTTATGCACATTAACTCTCTTCGACTTTCCAAAGTTTTAATACCACATTCAGTTAATGCTTGTTCATAATTCTTTTCCGGGCATATAATTTTCATTGCACGCTTTTGAATTCTCTCTATATCCCTAGATTGTTCCTCTGTCAAACTCCCATGCCAAATTTGAGCTCCATATTCTACGATTGATCGAATTGCCGAAGTATAAATAGTTTTCAAGTCATCTCGCAGAGCATTATATCCTTTTAAAATTTTTAAAAGATATAATCGTTTAGCTGCCTTTTTGACAATGTATTCCGTATTTGTTCTCCATTTTAGATCATCGTCTAACCACAATCCAAGTAATTTATAAGAGCTTACTCTTTCTAGGATGCATTCATCGACTTCTGTTGCAGGAATAGCTGTTCTATCCTTTCGAAAGTCGATAATCATCTCTTTGCACTTTTTTGGGTTTAACTCCATTCTCTCAATTTCCGCAAAATTCTTTACCGAATTAATTTTTTGGGGTATATTACCAATTTCCGTGCCAGAGATATGATTGTGAACATCCAGTGCCTCACTAATCGTTGTATCGTCCATGAAGAGAATCGTATCTTCATCCACAACGACATCATTATTTCCATTTCCTACAACAGCTTCTGCTATAACACTAGGTAACATATTAATTTTAACCACAAAAGCAATAGGTCCCAGCTTACTGCCTTGCGGAACGCCTCCCATAACATTCGCAAAATCAGATACTTCGTTTCCAAACTGTGTAAAATGAGATCTCTCGTCCAGGTACGATGCATACCATTTGATCAGAGCAGGTCTTACACCAATTTCTCGCATGTTTTCTAAGAGTTTATTATGATCGATAAGGTCAAATGCCTTTCGGAAATCCAAAAAGACTAAATATTTCGATACACTTGAATAAAGATTTAGAATTTTGTTGTACAGGCACATATTTTACGTGGTGACTGTGTTTCGTCAGGGATCTATTGAAAGTATCGACACGAGGTTTTCTTATCGTTTGGGCAGAAGAAAAACAATCAATCTTTATGTATTGTAATATAGGGGATATTTAATACGTAGGCACAAGAAGAAACTGGGAGTGCACATGATCACAAACTCGTTTCTAGGGCATTGGAGTCGGCTAGAGTCTTCTGAACGCTTATTCGTCAATCTCTGGTACAAAAATGGCATAATTATAATAATTACGTATGAAATCGATATGCAAGTCGAGAGAGAAGAACCGGAGACGAACGCTTGCAATGTAATACCTTTTGTACAAGAAAATAATCAAATGCGATCAAACACAATACCGATTGGCAGTGAAAGAACCATGCTGGACTACCTCAAACTCTGCAGTTCCCTTGACCGAAACATGTTTTGTCGAAGAAAAAAATACGGTTGCTTCACAAAACGCGTTAGTAATAATAAATTCGTCTTCGAATATTACTGCACGTCAAAGAGAAAAAATAACAGCAGCTGCACGAACCAAAGATGCCTCTGTCTTCGCAGATGTCGTTATGAAGCATAAAGTTTGATCCCCCCTCGTTTTACAAACGAGCTTGAATGCTTAATGAGCCCCTGAAAATGGACAATCTACCAAAGCAAAAAGCTGATCGAGATCAATTTCGACAATACAAAACTGGGCTGGGGACTGGACACGGGAATGTGAGAACGTAAAGTAACGTCAAGAATAGTGTGCTGCCTTGCCTCAATTATTACACCCCAATGACAAAAAGGGAAATGCCTTGGAACGAGGTTATCGTTTTGGGTGCCCATGTAGTTCAATCCTTTTCTTAACAAGCTGATTTCATCCTCGTTTAAATTCTTTCCCGAGAGGTTTACAACCCATTTCTTTTGAATTTGATTCGAGTCATCGTTGCGTGTTAGTTGAAGGAATTTTGTTACGTGTCTTTCCTTTATAATGCTTTGCCGATGGGAACATCGGCTTACTATTTATCGCCTGATGTAGACTCAATAAACACGCGTCTTCCACGATATGTAATGTCCCAAACAGCGTTGTAGAATCTCTATTCAGATTTTCAAGTTTGTGGTGGCGATTGCTTATGAGGACGCGAAGATATGTCCAACCACTTTTTTGGGGGATGCTCCATGCCTTAGGATGGTTTATTGGTGGTCTTGAGTACAGATCATCTCAAACTGGGAATTGCCAGTACAGTTCTGTGTCTTTAGTATTGGTAGGAGATAATAACTGGTACAAACTTTAAAGATTCTAACATCCATTGAGCTTTTATTAATGCGCCATTTTATACTCAACATCCCCAGTTTTTATTTACTGGAAATGACATGGTGATTTGTTTAGCAACCTCAACAACCTTTTGCCTTTGTGTATCTCTATGGAATGCCTGGGTACTGGTGCCAAAATGGATGATCTAGTACATCAAGATGTCATTTTGAATAGCTTTGATGGAAAGTAGTCATCAGTTCTTTTGGTCTTTCTTCTGCTTTAAATAGAAATACCTTTACTTATTATCCTGATTGTGGAGCTCAGGTATAAAGTTTTGTTTAACACTGGAATTTTTTTTTGTAAACCAATACTATGAAGATTGTATGGACTTTCGTTGGAAATAGTATGGATTTTGATTTTCCATACTAACTGTATATTTACAAAGTATGAAAATAATGAGGTTATTCTATAGAAATTACATTTCCATAGTATATTTTTTATGAGGAATTTATGTTTCCATGGTGTGGAAATTGTGGAATATAATATTGTATGAATCCTTGCATGGACTTTGTATTGATATAGGGATGCAACATAGATTTTGTATGGATATAGATATACTTTAGGATGCATGGGTTGGTACGAATTTTGTATGGTATAGCATGGATTTTATAGGGGTCGGTATGAATATTTTTTTTTTTTATAATACTCACGACATGCAGTAATGATCGTGGAGTGCATAGACAAACAGTTTTTTAGTATTTGCCGAAACACGAGTATTTAATATTTTTCTCTCGGACGACAAAAAAATAACGAACTTGTAAACGCATTTGACAACGGATCAACAAAATAAGGTAGGTATATGTGCTTTATATATATATATATATATATATATATATATATATATATATATATATATATATATATATATATATAAACAAATCAATATAAATAGTCTACCCTCGTCTTGACAAGTTATTGTACACGCCCGTAGCTACCGGGACTTCGGCCCCGATAATTTGTTTATATTAATTATTAATTATATATTATTAAAATTAAATTTCGCTGAACTTGTTGACAGACATGCACACTCGGCTATTTTGAAAGAATATATTAATAATATATAGCTCGGCGCACAGTACGTAAATTTTCATACGTCTGTCACACTCAACTCACGAGTTATAGTTAGATATTAACTTCCAGCTTCGCTTGGAGTTGAAGATTTCAGAACATATTGCTAATACTGGCCGGGAGCTTCAAACAAGTTTAAATTATGTTTGATTGCTGGTGACTATATAATTAAACTAGCATGTCAGTGATTTGTGATGTCGTCTGGAAACCACAAGTCAATTTTGCCCTTCTTCAAGAAAAGAAGTTCCGATAAAACGTCAAGCCCCAGGTAAGTGTTGTGTCGTCACTTTTGCTTTCCATAACTTGTCTGTTATTCAAATATGCATACAAAGAATTATTGACTAATTTATACTGTACGTATTTTATACGAAGTGACTTTTCAAAATGTGCTAAATGACCGGTAGTTTTTGTTGGACTTATCACTATAAAATCAATTTGTTTACGAGTGCTTTTAGCGATAGTGCTCGTGGTGTCATGGTTACTTCATTGAAACTTTATTTTTAGTCAATATTTTTATTTTATTTCTATTTTAATTCCTCATTCAAGGTCTCATGCTGTACAACGTTATCAACACACGGCGTCTAAAAATTGATGATATTTGTAAAGGTATATAATGTTGCGCTGTTTCAGTAGTTACTGTATACAGTTTTAACAACGGTCTCCGTCAGTAAACAACAATACACGCGCACTGTTCTAAAAGGTTTCTACAAAACTAAATGGTTAATAAAGAAAATAATGATTATTGAAACAATTTTAAGGAATGAAGGAGCTTTACTTGTTACGTATCTTTCGAAGTGGTCTGTATTTGGTGGTTTGATATTTCCCAGAGAACATGAACGAAACATCAACTTGATGGAGTTTAAAGAAAAAATCCAATTTGAAGACAAATTAAAGGAGGAATTCTTTTGGAAGTATCTCGACATGATCCACGAAAGAAGTCAAGGTAATGACGTATGCTTGACTTAAGCTAACAACCTTAACTAAAATTATAATCTTTTGCAGAAGGAGTTGGCTTGATGGAGTTGTGTTCATTTTGGACTGGGATAGTGAATTTTCTTATTGTTTCTAGGCATGACGGATTAGTCATACTTGTGAATTATGTATTATTCTTTATGCGTATATAGGATCTCGCTGTTTTTGGTTGTATTTATGTAGTGTAACAAACGATGTTTGACGTTATAATAAATTTTACTGCGCCTGTGCATTGTGCCGAAATTTAACCACGAGGAACG